GTGCTTGCCTGGCAAGTGCAAGGGCCTGAGTTCAATCCCTGGTTCTGCAAAGAAAAAATAAAAAAAAAGAATGGTATTTATTTAGGAACTTTTAAATTGGTATATTTTGCAATATGGATGGCCAGTTTCATTTTGGGTAATTGATATATATGCGTGTCACATATTGACCATTTTGCTACCTTTTCTACCATTGTTGTCCCTCTTTTCTCCATATTGTTTGTCTTCATCTCCAAAATGTCAGGCTTTCCTTTTGTAATTGCCTTGATGTTATTCCCTAATTTATATTTTTTTGTTTCTCTTATAAGAGAAAGCATGTGACATTTCACATTCGGTGTCTGACTTTACTTCACGTTTATGATGAAGGTCTGTCCACCAATTTCTTTGTGCAAATGACATGATTATAATTCATTTTGTACCTAATTAGGTAGCATTTTTTTCTTCTTCTTCTTTCAGTGAAGATGACTAGTACTGAGTTACATCTCCAACTTTTCCTGATTTTAGGAGATTCTCATTGATGATAAAGTTGCTTATGCTGATTTTCAACTTGCCACCCTGCTGAATCAGCTTAGCAGAGTGCTAGGATTGTATCACCATGCCAAGTCTATAAAATTTTTTCTTTATTCAGTCATCCAAAAATGGAAATCTAGGGGGCCTGCCCCTGTTCAGTTCTTTAAGTGGCTGCTTCAACAAAGCAGTCAGGCTCAGGTTGCTGTGGTTTGATCCCCACAACTCAAGCCAGCCAAACCTGCCCTGAAGGCATTCGGAGAAAAAAAAAAATGGAAATCTGTATTGATTCCATGGCTTAGCTGTAACAGATTGTTCTGCTTTGTGTATTCATATGCTATATCAGTATAATATGAAAATTTTAGCTTTTCTGAAACTATACCCAGGAGAGGTATTCTTGGATCAAATAGAAATTCTATTTTTACTTTGGGAGAAGTCTTTATACTGATTATAGTACTGACTATAATTAACATTCCTACTAAAAATGTTGAATTTTAAAACATGAGTGGACTCAATTCTCTGGAGTTTTACAGCACTAGCATCCATTTGTGCTTTCAATACTGCTTCAAGATTTCTAATCTTTTTAAAAATCAAAAAATTTTTCACTTATTTATTTGGTACAGGGTCTTGATACACAACTCAGACTTGCAGTGATCCTCCTGCGTCAGCCTCCCCAGTGCTAGGAAGAGAGGTGTGCACCATTGTGCCCAGTTTCTGTGGCCAGCACAGTGCACGTGAAGCTCCAAGGCTAGCACGGCATGCCTTACCTTGAACATAAGTCCTTGTGCTTGCCATGCAGGCACCTAAAGCACAGGGCTATCTTCCCTGCCCCCAAGTTTCTAATCTTTTAGATAATAAATTTTTATATACATATAATAGTTACACATAATATATTAATAGATATGGTGAAGAAGTGTTTCTGTCAAAACTAAAAATTTATTTTTTCACGCATACCTGTACAAAATACCTGAATGAAACTTCACACATTTTCATGGAGGTAATCATAAAAGTTTTGCACCTATATGTCAGATAGTGTCACTTGTATGTTATCAGTATGGTTCACATATTCGAATATTTCTGTATTCAGTTTTCAGATTATACATACTAAAACTGAATACATCATTGGAGAGTATTTGTGAGATTAATTAAATTTGAACAGGGCCACATTTCCCTGGTTCTGATATTTGTGCTTATGTATTGACTTGTTTAAAAAAATTCTTTATATATGCTTTTTTATTTTTTAGAGAGAGTACAAAATATATCAGAAAGCTTACTAATGATACATAATTTCTTTTTTTTTTAAATTTTATTTATTTATGTGTGTGTGTGTGTGTGGCCAGCTCAGCCCACCAGGGGGCGGGGCTGGCTGGCATGTGGTGCTGGGGGATTGAACCGCGGTCCCTGTGCTTTTTTGCTAAGCTTGTTCTAAGTAGGTGCTTTAGACCACTAAGCCATCTCACCAGCCCCCCCCTTTTTTTTTTAAATTTTACATAATTTCACTTAACAAAATAATATGAACTTTACAATATTTGTCTTAATGCATGGTTTTGTCTTCTAACTAGTTATTCATATTACCAGATATATGCATGCAAAATTGGAAGAAAAGAAAAATATGTAAGAAATTAAAAAGAGAAAATTACAAACAATTGAAAAAAAGAGACAAAACATATTAAGCTTGAACTGCTGCTTTCCACAGACCAGCCGAAATCCACACTACGGTTGTCCAAACCATCTGGCTTACATACAGAGATAAATCTCTTTCTCTACTCCCTCTCCTGTCCTTCTCTTCAACTCAGTAATTCCTTCCTTTTGAATAGGTTCATTCCCTTTTCCCAGCATCTACTGTATACATCAGATTTTACTTTCTTTTTCAGGTTCTCACTAAGGAGACAATACAGTGTTGGCACATGCAGGTCACATTTATTTCACTTTGGAGATTGGCCTCTAATTGCATCCATTGACCAATAAAACCCTCAAATTTATCCTATTTTGTAGCTGAATAATACTCCATGCTAAATCCCTGGCACCACATGCAATGTTGGCCACCAAGATGAAGCACAGTGGCACACATGTGTAATCTCAGTGCTGGGGAGGCTGAAAATGGGACGATCAATGCTGGAAGAGCTGTGGGGATAAAGGCACCCTTCTCCACTGTTGGTGCCAGTGCAGACTGGCACAATCACTATAGAAATCAGTGTGAAGCTTCCTTAAAAAGCTAGGATTGGAGGTTCCATGTAACCCAGCTGTTTCCCTCCTGGGTATTGTTCGAGAAGAACTGAAAACCTCCTACCACAGCAATATATGTGCACTGACTTTTGAGGAAAAGTTCTTTTCTGAGGACAAATTACCTTTGACTTCTCCAGTCATTTTTGTACTTTTCTTCAACTTCCTGATTACCACAGGCTCTACCTGAATGGTGGACATAGAAATATAAGGAGACACTATATTATTGCATGAAAATGAATAGATTCCAGGGCAGGCACGCAGCTCACTGGCACAGCGCCTGCCTGGCAAGTGCAAGGTCCTGAGTTAAAAAAAAAAAAAAAAAAAAAAGATCCCAGTTAGATTCATGGTATTCATGGTTATTCAATGTAACCAGGCCTGAGATATTCTTCAAAAATGTTTTAACCTTCTATTTAATGAAAGTGCACTGATGACCAACAATGTTCTCAGACTATCTCAATGAGACAGTGGTGTCATCCTTACCTACAGCAGCCACGTTTCTAAATGTTTCTCTCATCACATCTCTGTAGAGCTTCTTCTGGGATGGATCCAGCAAAGCCCACTCCTCCAAGGTGAAGTTCACAGCCACATCCTCAAAGGTCACTGCCTCCTAAATGAGCACACATGCTTCTTAAAGAAAGGTTGGGACTCACAGCCTGGGATCTTTCAATTTCTCTCATAACAATTTGAAGTGAAAGACAGGTGTGGTGGTGTATGTCTGTAATCCCAGCACTCAGGAGGCTGGGGCAGGAGGACTGCCATGAGTTTAAGACTTGTGCAGACCACAAAGTGAGTTCAAGGCCAGCCTGAGCTGTATAGTGAGTCTCAAAAAAATAAAGCAAACCAAAAGCAGTATGGTTGCTGAATCCTGCAAAGATTGACTCTGTGTCTTGGTCATCAAATCCATACATATGCATACTTTTTCAGGCAGTAATTCCTTATTTTTATTTATTTTTTGGTACCAGGAATTGAAGTCAGGCTCTTGTGCTTGCCAAGCAGGTGCTAGGCCCCTGAGCTATCTCCTTCAGAGATATTTTGATGCTAGGTTGTCACTCATTGTTAAAGCAACTGCAGAATAGGAGCCCTGGTTCTTCTGCTGGGTCACAGGCAAGGGCACCTGAGCACCACCTGTAATGCAGAGCTCTTAGGGGAGGCCATCAAGATCACCATCCACACAACACTGGAAAAGACAATTATCTAACACAGTTTGATAGATCATGGGGATATCCATTTTCCAATTTAATTATTTATTTTTTTTTAAATATTTATTTATTTTTATTTATTACATTTTATTTATTGTGTGTGTAGCCAGCTCAGCCCACCAGGGGGCGGGGCGGGCTGGCATGTGGTGCTGGAGGATTGAACCGCGGTCCTTGTGCTTTGCCAAGCTTGTTTCAAGTAGGTGCTTTAGACCACTGAGCCATCTCTCCAGCCCAATTTAATTATTTATGACATTGAAACTTCTGAATATTCCCAGGATATAGAATAACCCTCAAATTTGCAACTTGGAGGTCATATTCTCAATCATTCACAGACTTTTCTTGGAAACTAAGTAATGCATGTTTGTGGGAAACTGCAATTTTGCAAATATCCTTCATAATTGTTTTTCTGGTGGAAGGTTTATGAGTAGCCAATCCAAGCACATTATTCAGCTCTTATTGTTGGTGACCGGCTGCTGCCCTGTAAACCATCTTCAGCAGATGCCCCAGCATTCCAGCATCTTGACAGCATGCTGTACTGAGTGTAGCTGTCTCCAGTGCTTTTAGTTTTACTCTTTTTAAAGTGTTAAGCATTTTTTTTTTTTTTTTGCAGAGCCAGGGATTGAACTCAGGCCTTACACTTACCAGGGAAGCGCTTATTCTATGGAGTCATCTCCCCGGTCCCTTTTTAAAGTGTTAAGATTATGCCCCACACCTCTAAAGCTTTAAATTACATAAATGTGGGAGACATTGCATATTGAGGGTTTAAACTATAAAAAGTCATTTATAAGCATTTTTCTGGCCATCTCTGAAGTCCATGGCTTTTCATAATACATACTTCCTCTAAGAATATAACTCTTTGGAATTTCTGGGGTCTACTATATTTACATTATTATTATTGCTAAATCTCGCCAAGAATTTTGAAAATAAAATGTATTGCAAATAGTAAAACACTAATTTACCATTAAGAAAGTACAGGGGCCATAGATATAGCTTAGTGGCATAAGCACCTGGCAAACACAAGGTCCCAAGTCCAATCCTCGTACCACATAGAAAAAAAAAAAGCACAAATTCTATTTATATCAACTTGGGCCTCATACTGAGTTCAAAGCCAGCCTGAATTATATAATGAGACTCTAGTCTCAAAGAAAAACAACAAAATTACTTCTAAAGTTTTCTTAGCTTGGTCAGATATATTCTTATGCCATTACATGTTTAGCTAGGATAACAGCAATCTTATGATTAAATCATGAAAATAAATTCGTAAGTCCTTAAGGTAACTTAAATTTTATACAATACACTTGATACAAAAGCAGCCAAAGGGAAGCTGGTTAGGGATGAAGCTTGCTTCATTGCACTTTACAAAAGAATCCACACTGAGAAGGCTGGGATTTCATGCTCCTGAAGTTATACACAGTGCACAGTGTCCAAGCAGCCCAGAGCAGCTCAGTCACAGGTGGTGAGAAGGAAATCTGAAGTGACCTTCGCAGGGTGAAATTTCATGTCCTCAGTTCAAACTGTGAGCAGAAACAAATACAACTTCCCACAGCCGGTTGAAGTTTGACCTTGGTATTTTCTCAGTAGTGATCTTGGATTCTAGTGTGCATTGCCTGCTGAGCACTGAGCAGTTCTCCCACAGAAATCATGGGCCCGGGGCCTGTGCTCAGCTCTTTAAGTGGCTGCTTCCACAAAGCTGTCAGGCTCAGGTTGCTGTGGTTCGATCCCCACAACTCCAGCCAGCCAAACCTGCCCTGAAGGCATTCGGACCAGCCAAAAGAAAAATCCATGGGCCCCAGGTCAGTGTACTACCCAGAGAGACCAACACTGACGCGTTCGGAGTGCACCTGTAGCACACTGCTTCAAGTAAAGATTGTTGTGCAGAGCATGTGGCGCTTGCTCATCACTGCAGCTATCAAATGCTGGCACACTGCTTCATTACCAGAAATATATAACACCTCAGAGGCTTAGGATGAACAGGACAGTTATTTCTACAACTTGAAAAATTATGATAGTTTAGGTTCTCTCTGCGATTAAAAAAATTCTACAATACATGTACTTAACTTAAAATGCACAGACACTTATCTAGGGGAATAAAGTTCAAAGGTACCTCTTCAGAATGGCATCACAGTAGGAAAAATTACAACATTTAAAAAAATGTATTTGGTTGTTACAGGGTCTCACTGTGCAGCTCAGACTCAATGATTCTCCTGTTCTCAGCCTCCTCAGCGCTGGGATTACAGGCCTGCGCTACTACACCTGGACTCTGTGGCTGGCTCAGCCCACCCTGAGGGTGGGCTGGAGAGGCATATGGTGCTGGGCATTGAAATGCGGTCCCTATGCTTGACTAAGTTTGCCTGAGCAGGTGACTTAGTCCACCTAAGCTATCTTGCCGGCCCAAGTTACACGTTTGACATAAAAATAATTGGTGTTAATCTATCTCAAGCTAGCTATTTCCCTCTTGGGTACTGTTCCAGAAGAACTGAAAACCTCATACCACAGTGTATGTGTGCACCCATGTTTATAGCAGCACAATTTGTCATAGCTAAATCCCAAAAACAACCGAGATGCCATCAATTGAAGCATGGATAAAGAAGATATGGTATTTTTACACAATGGAGTATTATTCAGCTATAAAACACGATAAATTTGAGTCTTCTGTCAGCAAATGGATACAACTAGAGAGCATACTCTTTTTTTTTTTTTTTTTTTCTCTGAACCAGGGATCAAACTCAGAACCTTGTGCTTGCCAGGCAGGCACTTTTGCCACTGAGCTATATCCCTCGTCCAAGAGAGCATACTCTTAAGTGGTATATATCAGACACACATATGCAAACACTTGTCTTCTTAGTCTGAGAACCTGAAGAAGAAAAATGGAATCTGAAGGGTACAATAGATACTGGGAAAAGAGAATGAACTTATTCAAAAGGAAAGAATTACTGAGTTGAGGAAAAGAACAGGAGAGGGAGTGGAGAAAGATTTATCTATGTATGTAAGCCGGGTGGTTAGAATAACTGTACTGTGCAGTTCTGCTGGTCTGTGGAAAGGAGCAGATAATACTTTGTTCTGTGTCCTTTTTCAATTGGTTGTACTTTTTTCTCCTTAATTTCTTATACATTCCTTTTTTTTCCTTCTTCCAATTTGATATGTGTATATCCAGTAATACGAATTACTGTTTGGAAGACCACACTGTGTATTACAACAAATACTGTGAAATTCATATTATCTTGTTAAGTGAAATTCTGTACCACTTGTAATTTTTCTCTTTTAATTTTAATTTGTATTCTTTACAAAATAAAAGATAATTGATGATGTTTAATTCAACAAAGCACTACGATCACGGCATATAGTCTTGCTCACCTGTAATCCTATCACTCTGGGAGGCGGGGGAAAGAGGACAACTGCTTTCAGCTCAGGGTAGTGAGACACAATATCAAAATTCAAAATACAGACAACTAAAACCATAAAGGGCCCAGATGGTTCCCCAGAGTAAAGTTCATGGGACAAATCTTTACTATCACAACAAAACAAAACAAAACCCACAATCATTTCTATTCCTGTGTAACATTCTCCTCATTAAACTTACATAATATTGCCTAACTAATTTCTTTCTTCTTTTAAATGTATTTAGTACAAGGTCTACAGGGTCTCACTACACAGCTCAGACTCATAGTGATCCTCCTGTTTTCAGCCTCCCACGCCTGTACTGGGATTACAGGCGTGCACCACCACGCCCAGTCTCAGTTGTCAATCTCAGAGCATCCTGGGGGCAGGGCCAGCATGGCACACAGGGGATGGAATCCCAGTCCCTGCACCTATTGGAGCAGGCATTTTAGTCCACTGAGCTATCTCGCCAGCCCTACTAACCAATTTCTAAGCTATCAGCAGACAGACAGGGCCAGGTAGATGGCTCAGTGGAATAAGTGCTTCCCTGACAAGCACAAGGGCCTGAGTTCAATCCCTGGTTCCAAAAGAAAAAAAAAAAAAAAAAAAAAAAAGCAAAAAAACAACCAGAGAGACAATTTCCAACTAGGGCTCAAAAATGATTAGGAACACCATTTTGTTCCTTATCATCGATATCCTTGTAGACCCACACCTGGTGCTTTCCATCAGCTACAATTTTGCTTTTATTCATTATTCATTCCTATTTCATTCAGCATTTAAGACAGGGTCACACTGTAGTTCTGGCCTTTACATACTACAACAGATTGGAAGAACTGGCTTCAGTGTTCCAATCTGTTTTCATTTCTCACTAGATGGATACAAAATGGATCTCAGTCACACTGAGTGTGCAGTTTACCACTAAACTAATTATTAATTCACGAGTTTCTGATATGAAAATATATTTTTTCATTATTTAGATGGGGTCTCCTTATGTAGTTCAGGCTGGCCTTGAACTCACAGGTAACCCAGGATGGCCTCTAACTTGTCCTGATCCTCCTGCATCTTTGTCCAAAATGCTGGGATTTCGAGCATGAGGCACCAGGCCTAGCTGCCAAAGATATTTATTTATTTATTTATGGCAGGACTGGGGATTGAACTCAGGCCCTTGTGCTTGCCAGGGAAGCACTTATTCCACTGAGCTATCTCCCTGGCCCCTGTCAAAGATACTTTAAAGAAAGTTTCAATACAAACTCATGAAATAAGTTTAGAATTACACAGGATTAAGCAATGATTTTAGCATATAACATCCATGTTTGGAGGAAAATACTTTCAGTTACATATATGACATTTAAGAAGTACAAACAATTGAGCAGAAATGCAATGAATAATTTATGAGATAAGAGTAAATAGGGGGCCGCCCCTTAGCTCAGTTCTTT